CATAACTTATTATATAAGTTATAAACCTGAACGCAACAACAATTCAACCAATTTAAATTATGTTGTTGAATAGTAAAAGTTAAACTTGCTTTTTGATGGGCGTTTTATTTATTTGACATTTCATTGTAGTGTTGAAGTAGTGTTTAAGACTGAAATTCACTCTATGCAATATAGTCTATATTATGGTAATACATTTTGACTCTAAATAATAATTAAATGAAAATTAAAGTAATTTTAACTTTTTAAATTAAAATTAGTAAATGTTTTTGGAAAATAAAGGACTTTTACCTAAATAAACTATAAACTAACTTCGATAATACGATAATTTCGATAAAACTATAATTTACTTCGATAACACGATAATACGATTCGATAAAACTATAATTTACTTCGATTTCAGGAATTATAATTGTGTGGGTAAATAAGTTAGTTGACACTACTTCTGCGTTTCAGTATACACCTATATTTTCAGCAAAATTTTATGTTCCACACTTTTGATTATACGATTCTATTTAAGAAGTTTGTATTTTTTCCTTTCTATGCTCAATAATATTGAAATTGAAGTTTATTACATATTTCTTTAGCTTTAATAATATTAAAATATTTACATAAATTTTTAAACCCACAGTTGGAAATTTAATTTTAGTAAACTGGACTTTTTTTTAAACTGAATTTTAATATTTTACATATTTTTAAATTAAAATAATATTTGAAACAATAAATAATTTAAACAAATACTTGTTATATGTATGTATATAATATCAAATTATATTAAATTTTAGCTGTAATAACTATATCTACATATTAAATTTTTTATATAATTTATTTTCAATAGTTTTATACAAATAATTTATTTAAAATAAAAATGCAAATAAATTCTATGTATGGATATTTACACATTTTAATAATCATGAAGTTAATTCGGAATAAATTATTTTATATGTTATATATATGTGTGTAAGTTTGTATAACTGTATAGTTATTTAAAATAAACTTGTAGATATAAAATAAAATCTTTAATAATCAAAAATAGTATTTAGTGTCAATGTAAAATGGTATTTAAAAACTTGGAAAAAAATTTTTTAAATTTTACTATACTTAAAGTTAAAAACATATTTCGAATATTAAAAAATAATTTAGTAGATTTTTAGACATCAAGCAGGAGACACGAGTGTAACCATGAGTCAACATCACAAGTGTAACCATAAGTCCTTACCTCAAAATTGCAATAATAGCTTATTTATGTATACTCAATTTAGGTTGCAAAGTTTGAATAATTGGAAGTTTGAGTTTGTGATTTGTAAGTTAGTTAATCGGATAGTGGAATCAAAATTTTTGAATTTTAATGAAATCGAATATCAGCTGGTGAACTTACATATTATTGATTATGTGACAAAAAGTAATTTTTTTTGCAATTTAACGTAGCCCCATCTCGTAAACGTAAATAATAAAATATTTTCTTTTTTTTTTTCTTCTGGATATTTTAAAATTTTTCAATTACCGCGTTGCCACGAGAAATCCAAATCTTAAAATATTGACATTTTATATTGAATTTTACATAAAATGTTATAATACATCATGAGAAAAATATGTTATTTGGAGATGGTGTAGTTTTAACATTATAACGAAAATGTTGAATACATTATTGGTGTCGTAGAGTTTAATTTATATAAATTGTATACAAAATTGATTCCAATTAATATTAATTATGCACAAAATTTATTATTGCTTTGTTTGTCAATTTTTAAATACCATTGATTAAAAATAAATTTACATTAGCCTATATATGAGTACTCCTATATATTAGCCTTTAATATAATTTAATTTGGAATTACAAATTTTTTGATTAATTTATAAATTCAAATAATATGATAATATTACTATTATGCTATTATAATTTAATTTTGTAATAATATTTAAAAATAAGATTCTTAGTTAATAAATTAATGCTTAATTTTTAAATTTGAACTCGAGACACTTACAAACTTCAACAAAATATATGATATGAGTATCATTATTATAAAAGCTTTCGTTGTGTGGATGTTTATAAATGCAATTTAAGGTCAATTGTCCGGCTTCGACAAAAAGCACTTTAAAACCGATTTTTGGATCATAATTAATTTGCTTAAACTCAATCTAAATTGTACATAAATTTTAAAGATGTTAATAGATATACTAAAAAATTTTATCAGTCTATAATTATATAAGCATTGATATTATAAAATATAAAAATATATGTAATTTATATATAAAAGATTAAAATATTTAAAAGAAAATTGATTACTACTTCAATCAATTTAAATTTTCTTTTAGTAATTTTATACCTCTCTACTTGGTCCAGTTAAAATTACATCAATATCTTTTGTTGTTGGCCGACATGGTACAATGTCATAGGTTTGTTCAGAAACTGAATGGAAATTAAAATCATCACCTGGTGCAAGTAAAGAATTTGGATCATTGACAAAAACATAAATTTTTGAAGCTTTTCCTTCATCAACAATTTCATCCAGATCATTAATATCTTCTAAATAATCGTCTTCAATATCATCATAAATACAATAATAATATCTAACATATTTTGCATCCACATCACTTAATGTTAATTCTGTTCCATAGGGCCTATCTGGATTTTGTGTATCATATTTTTTTTCTTCAGTCTCTAAATTATGAATATCTCTTTTATAGAACCATCGTATTGGAACTTTTGATTCACATCTCAGCATAAAATTTGTATGATAATCTATTGTAACATCTTCCGAATTGGGAGCAATTTCTGGTGGTGTAAAAAGTTTTTCATGATTTCTTTGAGATGCTGGTGTTGGCACTAAAAATAAAAAGAAATTCAAAAAAATTTAGATTAAAATATTTTGTTTTAATAACTGTAAAACGCAAAGTATACAATATTATTTAAAATGAAAAATAAATGCATAATTAGGGATGTAACATATAAAAATGTTTAATGTTTTCCAATTTAAAAATTAATTACGATAGATATAATTGTGGTATATATATAAGATTTTATTTGTAAATTAAGAGTTTTGAATAAGAATGCATTGTTTATCAAAAAAATTTTATCCTCTCCTTCTTTGCTTTTGGAAAGAAAGATTTATTTTGATATCATAAATAATTGAATTGTGAATCTAATTTATATAATCGTTAATCAGTGAAAAACATCCGGTTTTTTAACAATTTTTTCTTTTTTTTTCTATAATGTTAAATAAAACAAAATTCATTGTTAAAACTGAAATGCGCGCCAGCATTTTTTATAATATGCTACATATAATATTTATATGATATAATTTGCTTTTTTGGTGAGATATAATTACATATGTATATATGTATATGTATATATGTACACATAAGTCTTATTTTGCGATACGTTCATCTTAAAAAATTAAATTCGATAAAATTAAGTTGACGAACTGTAAGTAAATTATTCTTGTATGATATAGAAAGAAACAGCTATATACAAAATTTAATAAGGTGATGATTGCCTATTATAGCAATCCAACAAAACTTGTATTAACGGTAAAAGTTTGAAGTATTATGACGGTAAAAATTTGAGCTCGATGTGACTTATTTTTAATAATGACTGATTTTGTAAGTTTTCGGTTTCTTATCCTGCAATATGTACGAGCATTTGTTCGTAAAATGAAAATTTTTGGTTCTAATTACACTAAGTAATTATAAAAAAACATGATACCAACTTGACTTTAAGTAAGGCAACTAGTGTCATACTAAATAAGGTTTAAAAAGTGAATAACAATTTTCTGAAAATCAAATTATATTTCATATTTGTACATATATCTTTGTAATATACACAATATATGTATTATATTATATATTATAAACAAATATATTTGTAATATATATATAATATTACAATATATATGTTTATAATGTATATATATTATAATTTCAATACGATTAATATCACATTTAACTTTGCGTGTAGTCAATAACAAAAGATAGCTACAATTTATATAAGTATTTTTTACGTATATAAATTACAAACTGAAGATTAAAAATTGTATACCAGTTATTATGTAATATATGTGGTTAATATTTTATAAATTTTGATATAAAAAATTCAATTCGTATAATAATATAAAAATGTAGATCGCTTGAACAAAAGAGTACATTTTTATTTTCCAGATCTTTTATATATGTACGTCTACAGCTTATATAAGAAAGAACATGCAATATATTTAATAGTTTTTTTGTTTACAAAACAATAAGTTTTTTGTGAAATTTATTTTTTAGTTTTTTTCTTCAACCAAAGTACAAGTGTATTATTTATCACTAAAAGTTATTTTTGGTTATCACTATAAGAAAATTGAAAAATAAAAAAGTACTACACTTGCCTTATAGTAAAAAAAAGTGGAATGTATAGTAAAGATTGTAACTAAATTTTTTCTTTATTCCTTTTTCCCAGAGTGTCTCAAAATGAAATATTAAAAAAAATTTTTGCTCAGTTTTCTTAAAAGTTTGTGAATCACTAACAGCTAAAATTTAAAATTAAACGAAGGCTGAAGTTTGTCCCACGTATGGCAAAGCGATACCTTGTTCTCACATTTTTTTTGGCACGTATGGCTAAGCGATATCTTGTTGCACAGAAGAAATATAAGGCTGTAGCATAATATTATAATATAGTCATATTTGAGTTTCACTAGTCAGTGGTTTAACTAGGCGGGTGACTAGACTGTCGCGGTAGAGTAACTGTACTAAAACCAATTAAATAAAATGATTTTCAATATCCTTTTTATTTTAGCCTAAATGGAAAGGTTTAAAAAAGGTTTAAGAAAGGGAAAGGTGTTTTACAGTTAAGCAAAAACTGTATTTTGACAGTTTAATCTAAGTTTGACAAGTCTTACGTATATTATACCGAAGCATCTTGTAAACAAATGATTTTTAAAAAAATATGATACAAGCGGCTTTTTATAAGGAATAGGTCGATTACATTAAAAAAAATGAAATATACGTATTATTAAAAAAAAATAATTTTTAATTTTTTTTTATAAGATTTATTATGTAGTAATTGCACAAGTTAATTTTTAATTCTTTAAAAAATTTTGTAAATCAGCTTAGATCAAAACAAATGTATATGTATAAAAAAAATTATTTTATAGCCTTAAAAATGAAGACATAAATAATAATTACTCGCAGTTAAAATTTAAATGGTTTATTGAACTATTAAATTAAATTCTTCTCATGTGCAAGTATGCACTTAATAAAATACAATAAAATTAATTTTACAAAATTACTACAAATAATAATAATTACAAAAAAATTAAAAAGGTTATAAGTATTAGTTTTATTCGGGAATTTTTCCAAAGAAAAAGTAAAAAATAAAATTTTTCTCTATGAAGACTTTGAACCTTTATAAAAGATAATTGTAGAAAAATATGTAGTTACACTCTACACTCTAAAATACACGAATAGCTAAATAATTCTATACTTAATTAAAACACGCAAATGAATTTTTTTTAATTGATAATGGGTACTTTTAATTAATTTTAATATTTCTATAGATGGATTTAATTTTTAATAGCGGTAATATTCTTAATGTTAAATAGTAACAGCCTTTATGCATAAGAAATAAAATTTTGTTTTGATTCCACATTTTTAGGTAAAATGGTAAATGCTCACTCAATTGGACATATTTTATACTTTCAAAGCCTTCGGAGACTCGGAAAATTTTGTAAGAGTGATTTTACCTTTTATTTCTCATCTAAAAAAATAAACAAAATATGGTGAAAACATTTAAGAACATGAAAACATAAAAAAATTTTCAAAGAAACAAAAAAGTCTCATTTTGACAGCCTTTTCTCAAAAAGTGGATCTCAAATTAATTGAATTATTTATAAGAACAATCATAAAGAGCTATGAATCACCTGTACAACATGTGACTGCTAGCAAACGTTATAAGCAAACGGCTTCGAATTTATTAATATTTACTAATTTTTATGATAAGATAAAGATAGGTTAAAGCTCGAGAACGATTATATCAGCACATCTTCTCTTCGGTAGAAATGTAAATTTAAATTCTAGGATGGAGCCAGCTGACTCATGCTTTTTAAAATCTTAGAAATTTCCATTGACCGACTGAATTTAAATATATATATATGCGTATAAACATACGTATGTAAAATTTCAAAATCATCCTCAGTAATTGCTTAAGTTTTTAGAGCTCTAAAAAAGGAGGCACTTTACCGCATTAAAAAATCTTACCTCTAAAAGTTCATCATAATCAGTTCTGCCGAAATGGAAATAAGGAAATAAGTACTTAGGCAGGTCTTATATTTCGCTTAAAATAGATAAATTACGTTCCACATACATGGAGAAATATATTTCTTTTGAAAATTCAATATGAAAAATTTGGTGCAATCACTACTCCTTTATTCGGAAGTCGGCCGGTAATTCAATGCTTAATTTGTAAGAAATATTTTAATCGTCGAAATAAAAGAAATAATTTTTAAGCGTATTTTTCAAATAATATGATACGAGCTAAAATAACACTTCCTTTCTTTTTAAATAGTAAAATTAATGTGAAAGTTGACACGCGACTTGTCATAGGAAATATAATTTCCTTAACAGGATACCCTTCTCTTATATCAACTACAAAATGTATAGTTGAATTTTCGTTTCCTGACATTAACATAAAAACATTTTATTGAATGGATAATAATAGTAACTATTTAATATTCTGCAATTCTTCTTCCAAAAACGTATTTTTAAATTTTGTACTGGAATAATGTATAAAATATGAAAAAGATAATTACAAAATAATTCTCTTATCTTTTAAATAAATAAATAGATATTTAATTACGGTTTAAGGTTTCATATTTTTATGGTAATAAGTACGTGCTTGAATAAGAATTATTTTTAATTACTATTCTCATTAGCTATTTCTTTTCTAAGTGAAATTATAGTAGTTCTTCTATGATTTGATACCTATAATAAAACATTGATAAAATTATGTTCACAATATTCAAGTACACTGTCATTTAAAATAACAATAACTTTTATAAATTTATTGCTTAAGTACATCTAATTCGTTTTATGCACATCTTGAGTTTTTCGCTCTTTTTTAGCATTTTCTCCTCTTCGAGTTACTTGAAATGACTTTTAGAGCTTATCCGGAAATCAAGAAGTTTTAACACGAACTCCTCATTCAAAGTTTTCGGACTAGTAGTGAACGAACTTAGGAAATTTTCTTTTTTATGTGAAGCCGCTTCAAAAATAATGGAAACAAGTTTAGCTTTAGTGTTTTAATCTACCACCATACATACTTAACAATTTCTGTATTGAGTATAAAAAACTAGTGATTCCGATTTTAAGACGACTTTTGAGTACAACGAATGCATAATAGGAATTTTTTTTTTATTTTTGGCTATATAATATCTGCTAAATCGAGAAGATTTTATACTAAAATATTTTTTGTTCTTTTTTCCACATATATTCTTTTGATTAAGGTTGTTTAAAAAAAATTCCACTGTATTTATATAAAATAAGAATATAAAAATACTTCCAAAAATTTATTCTTTACTAGTAACTATCAACATATAAAACGTAAGTGTATAAATAATTGGATTTATTACTTTTCTTGCTTAATTTATGAAATATGCGTAGTTAGCTGCATTTAGAAAATCTATTTTCTAATACTCGTAACAATAATTTTTATTATGTTCTTTTGATACAAAAAAAGCAACAATTGATTGCTTTTTCCATAAAATTCTGAGCTTGTTGTGAAATTTATCAACCAGATATAAGTAATTGAATTTCTTTTTTTTTTGACGTGATTATAATTATTTATCATAAGTTCATAATAACATGTACGCGCACTCTTGTTACATAGAGTGGGATTTCGCTGCGACAATTTGAAAAAAAAATTTTTAAGTAAATTCAAGTAGATCTTGCAATGTGCAATGATTTAATTGCATTCTTTAATAAGCTGCATATATGTATATTAAAGTTTAATTTAGGAAAAACAAAATAAAACAAGGAAATTTACTAATCGTTAACAGTCATTAAGTGCTTACAACTTTTCAAATCAAATTGTTAAAAGAAATACAAGTATTTGATTAAGAAACTTGTAAGCTGCTCTACGAATTGTTATTAAAGTATAATTTAAACTCAATTTCATTTTATTTTTACAGAATGTTAATCGTGTGCATATATAAAAAGCATTATTACCTTAAAATTTTAAATAATGGCAAACCAGTTTTTTGAAAATGAGTTTTTTTTTTAAATTGTATGCATTCAATTTCAATGAACTGCTTTTTCATCAACTCTTCAAAATCTTCAGTATATACGTTTAGAATGTCATTGTGAATAAGCAATTTAAGGAGTGCTTATAAGTTGTTTTGTACAATTTGGTTTTATGAAAAAATGTAAGGAAATTTCTAATTTAAACATCAAATTCGAATCGCTTAAAAAGCAGTTTGATCTCAAATATTCTTTGATTTTGTTTTTAAATCAAAATTTTATGAATTCTATATGTACACTTCGTATTAAAACGCAAAATTTGCAATTTGAATTTTAAGCAAAATTTAATTTTCATATTTCAAAAATTAATTATATATACATAAATTATATAATTATGCTCAATGCTAAATTAACAAACAAATAAATTTGATTGTAGGGAACGTCTATTTTATTTTGTACATTATTTTAAAGTTTAAATTATTGTTAAGTAAAGTTTTTTTCATCACCTACATACAAATTAAATTGCAATAATGAAAAACAAATACTACAATTACGATAATTTCGAGATATGCATTATTACCGACCGTATTGTGTGTACAATAGGTAGGTCATGTGTTGGCAACAAATTTTGCAAATCGAGTTTTCGGTTGGAACACACTTACATACGAGTATAAACTATTTTTAGCAACCTATCGCTCTGTCGGTCTGTGTATGCACGTGTGTATCTCAAATTCGGCTGAACCGATTTTAATGAAATTGTATATGTAAGTTTATTTGGACTATGGGACGGATTGATCAACTTTTGGGATATATCAGGAATCGGAAAATGCACTTTTTAGCGGGCCTGTTTTACATTTTTGATCATTATGAAGAAAATATTCAACAGATTTACTTGAAATTTCATATATAAGCTTGGCTCGACGTCCGCGAAACCACCTAACTTTTGGAAGAAATCAGGCGTCAGCAACTGGACGTTACGGGCTAAATATACATTTTTGCGTATATAAAGAGAAACAATCAACCGATTTCATTGAAATTTAATAATTAAATTTTCGTATTCAAACTATGAACATATAAATTTTTTGGAATGGTCAGGGCTCGGAAAGTGATCTGAGGGCCGACTTTACATATTTTACCATATCTACGGACGGATTGATGAAATTTCTTGAAATTTGATATTTGAGTTCTGGTTGCTACTAAAACTAACTGCCGAGTATTTCAGGGAATTCGGGTAGCACAAAGCGAAATCTATTAAGAGCAAAATTAACAATTTTCTCGATGTGTTTACTAAAAATTGGAAAGAAGTATTTAAAATGCATTTTTATAATATTCTGTAACATTTTTACTTAACTAGACAATACACATTGCGATCGGTTATGTGCTGATCACATCAGATTTTTTTTGTGTTGTGGTAATGTGAAATTTTTAGGATCACATATTATAATATGTAAGGTGTAGAACAAGTAAAGAACAAAAATATAACAAATGAGAATAAATATTTAAAAAGAAAAATGTCATAATAAATAAATTTACATAATAATTGTTCTTCTTCAAAGTCACCACACCTTATTATGAAAATTTACTATGAGTATAACATTTAATATATTTGCAAATAAAAAAATTTATTCTCTGTAATTTCGGAAATTTTCTTCTATCCTTATTTTGCAATTTATAATTATAAAACAAATTTAATTTATTTATTTTGCATACTTATATACTTAATGTACATAGTTACATTAGATATTTATGTATTGAATAATAAAAATATTGGAATTTGAAATATCGAAATGCTGATCTTAGTTTTTATGAATAATAGCAAAATATTCAAATATTTTTACTATTAAAAAACTTCGTAAAGCAGAAAAGTACTTTTTTGAAACAACAACAAATTCTATATTGTACAATCGTATTTTAAATACATAACCTTTTTAGATCTATATACTCCGATTGAGTGGTTAAGTCTTATCTTATTTGGCTTGAAATCTGGTCGCGCATTTGAATTCAAACATCTCAAAAAAATAAAGTTTTCAATTTCAATTCAAATTAACAAATATAATATTTTAAATTAAATTGAACTGTGTACTTACGCGTATAGTTTTTGCCCACATTTATGCTGAGTGTAAAAAATAATCCAATGATGAAAAATTTGTTTACCTTTAGAGGTAAAAACCACATTTTCGTTTACTATATAGGTGATTGTATATTTTTATGAAGATAGCGTTGGTTTCTTTTTTTTATATATTTACTTTAATTTATATGAATCAGAATAAATACGAAATTTTTCTCAAAAAATTATTATTTTTTTCACTTTGATTATCTCATATTTAATTAGTTTTTCTTTTTTTTATTTTATTTACTTTCTCACACATAAATATTTAAAATTTTTATTATTATTTCTTCTTAAAATTTGACTTTTTCTCTTTAAATTAAATATAAAAAAAAATACCTTTAAATTATTTGCTTAATTTTTTTACTCAATAAAATTTAATTGCATTTTACACAAACGAAAACTGAATTCCGAAAGCTGAAAAATTAAAAATAAAATTTATTGGACAAATTTAATTATACACAAAAGTATCACTTAATATTGAATGATTTGGTGGTTGTTAAGTAAAAACCTCCAGAATTTTGAGCTATGTGTACTTTTCTTAAAATATCCATCAATCCATCTTACACCATCAATTTTATTTTATACCGGCATGAAGGTTTCATGTACTCATTTATTAAAAATTTCTACTTATTTTATTAAGTTCGGTTAAGATTCAAGTTTTTAAATGCTAAAATATTTTAAAATTTTTATTATTCGATATTTTAAGTTTCGACAGTTTAACAAAATGTGATCTCAAATTACTTAATGAAAATTGAAGTACAATTGAGCTTTTCATAATAAACAAATGACATCAATTTTTGCGAAACACATTACATACCATACACAAACACATCAATAATTTCAAATATTCATATTTTATTTTATTTTATTTTATTTATTATGTTATTATTAATTTTATTTTTGAATCATAAAAATTGTTTTATTTTTCTTATATTTTACTTTCAATGAAGATTATTCATTCCTATTTTTGAATTTTAATTTTTACCATTAATAATAATCATCAGAAAATTTCTGAATTACAAACTTTTAATTATTTTATTTTTAAAAGTATATTTGCAATCAATGTTAGATAGCAAATACACTTAAATTTAGGTATTTATTAACAATATGAAAATAAAATGTTAACCTTAGGTGATTGAACGTTATTGTTCTATTTTAATGTTATTATTAAAATAAAATTTAAATGCGTAAAAAAATTATTCGTACCACTTACACGGTCTATTATTGAACAGCAACTAAACTACAAAACAAATAAACTGGAAGCGTTTAAATTTTTTCTCGTATATTTTTCTTTCTTTTTGTTTTTATTTAAATCGTTATAATGTTGTCATTGAATTTTTGTATTGTACATATTGTATTATTTTGTTGTTTTGAGAAATGTGTTTGTGTGTGACGCCATTAACTTTATGCTGTTGCCGTATAATAATTTGCTGTTGTACTGTACGTTACGTTTTTAAAATAGAATAAATTCTAAAATTATAATAAGTAATTTTTGGTATAGTAAGATTTTATAATAATTTTTATGCGAAAGTAGTAAACTAATTAATCATTGTGTACATATGGATGATTTTGTCAATAAGATTTGGGTTAAAAATTGAAATATAAAACATAATAATATGTAATATTATTGTCAAAACAAACATACGAGTACAACAAATTTATTACATGTTTGATAGATTGTTACGTTAGGAATGATGTTGTATTTTCTGTTCTGTCGGCTTGATTCGTTAAATTCATTTATGCGTAAGACTAACTTTTTTGAATTTTATACTTTTTTGTTTGTTTTCTTAAAAACACGTTATTTAATTATTGTATTTGTTTACTATTGTAGTTGGCATATATATCCACTGTATGGACCCTATTCTTACACAGATAAGAAACAGCAGCAAAGTAACAGCTTTGAAACTACTACAATTTCAGCAGCAGCCGGTATGATTTTATCAATTTTTAGTAATCATATAAGGCTAAGCAGTTGTAAACTTCGAAAAAAAGTTTTGCTGTTGCGTTGCTGCATGTTTCGATCAATACACAGTATGTATGTATTTGTATTGTATAATGTTGTAGCTATACATTTTGTAGCGTAGCTTAATGTTCTTGTATCGTTAAACTATCATTATTGGATACACATATAACAAACATGTGAACAAGTATGTTGACTGGCCAAGCGAGTGTTTACTTTTATCTGAAATTAAAAAAAGAAAATTTTAATCTTTCTCTTTTTTGTTTTAAATTTTTATTATAGGAATATTAATCAAAAAAATGTACATATACTTTTTTTTATAATATAAATATAACGCAAAATTTATTTATAAATAATTTTACAAGTATGTTACAATGTTCGTATTCAGCCGAAAATTTTATGTGCATGGAATGATATGTATGTATGTATGTGCGATAATATATTTTTGTGTAAATAAGTTTATAAGTTTTAAATGTTATATAAAGCGTAGGAGGTTAATTGGTATACAATAAAATATATGTGTTCATGAACATGTGTCCGGATATAAATTTGTATTTAATATATCTTAAAATCTTTTTCTTTTAATTATAGAAATACATACAAGACAAAAATTTTAATATTTTATATTCATCTGCATTTAAAAGAATCAAAAACTTATTTTTGTATACAAGAATATCTAATACATACATATATATATACAATAGGTACATGAACGACATAAACATGCGTGTTTTTTTACTATTTTTGGATATAATACACTATGAAATCAAACTTTGTCATTTTAGAAATTTCTAATAATAAAAGATACTTTATCGAACTTGATATTTAAATTTATAAACAAAGCCGTAATTGTAATGCATAATAGTAGATTTTTTAACATTGTACGTAATAAATAATTACTATATATTAATATACTAATTACTATATATTAATATATTAATACATGCACTAGCCCTATGCTCCTTCTAGGAGTGAATAAGGAAAAACAAATATATTAATATAGTAATTACTATATTACTATATTACTAGTAATATTAAAATATTAATTTCGTAATATAAAGTGGGTCATGTAGTTAGCCCTATTATGAATTCCCTTCGTAGAATTCTACGAATTACTAACTTAGTTACTTCGTAGACTTTTAAATGATCACAAATTCGTTTCGTAGAGATTATGAATCAGCAATGGCAACACAATTTTTCGGAGTGTCAAAATCAGTTTTTTATTTCAACTGTCAAATGTTTATTATATTTTTTGTTGCTATTTGAGTACACAACTTTCATAAAGGAGGATATTTTTTAAAATAGTTTTCTATAATAGTTCTTGGGTATTTTTGAAAAGTGAAAAAATTGTTTTTTGCAAATATGAATCCATTTCCTTTCCTGGTTGTTGTGTTGGAAGAACTCAAATTCAAACAAAAAAAAATTAAAATGCTCATTTCTTTTTACGTGTGATTATTTCTTTCATAGACTTTTGAGGGTTATTTTCAATACGAACTTATTTTATTTTATGATTAGAATTTTTGTAATTTGGAATTGAGAATATGTAATTTGTAATTTTTCGATTATTGAAATTCACGACAGGGTCGATCATGTGCTGACCACATACTAGCTTTTTTTTAAATAGTTTCATGTTTAGTTGTTTTACAAAGTAAAACAAAGGACACATTTAACCTACATATTTGTGATAAAAAAATCATTATAATTTTTTGTTATACAGGTTTATTTCCTAAAATACCTGTAGTAGTTGTTACCTGTTGCTTAAAAAATTAATGTAATATAATATACAAGTATATTTACATTGTGCGAATATACTTATATATATATACATACATATCAATTCAAAAGAAATTATCAGTCATTATATTGGCTATAGAGGTAAACAATTAGCCGGTGGGATTCCTCAAATATCAATCAACTTGATCAATTAATAAGCTAAGTATAGGTACCACAAAATATATGCTATTGCGACAATTTTATATACACACAAACCGATATATTTTTGGCCTTATATTGGAAAATAAATAGATGAAATTGATAATGTAAATTTATATGATGTAAGAACGCAAGTATTTATGTACATATAATATGTAGCATGTATACACTGTGGTTATGGGTAACATTTAATTCTTGTTTATATTTATACTTGTTAAAGATAAATTCTTAATATTGAATTTTTACTACCTGCTGTTAGTTGTCAAAATAAGAAAACACAAATTATTATTGGAATGTTTATGGTTCTTGTATAACAGAACCAAATACAACATTGAAATTCCACTTAAGAATTTTATTTTCAATACTTTTCACTAATTTCATTTTTGTAAATAACAAAATTTTTAAAAAAGTGAATGCTATAAGAAGTTTTGTTTTGTTTATTATTTTCGGTATAAATATAAAAATAAACAAACTAAATTAAATACTAATTAAATGTTTGTTTACTTTGCTTTTATTTAGATAAGGTAAGTAGAAAATTTTACCCGTTAGATTTTCCAGAACATAAATGTTTAAAATAATGTTAAAATTGTAAAATTGATAAGATTTATATTCAATTTAAATTTTGAATAACAATAAAAATTAGTTATCCTTTGGCAGCATAGATTTTTATTTTTTTATGTACTGACAAGGGGATAAAGGAAGCACAATTTAGTTTGAACTAAATAATAAAAATAATCATGTAGGTGAATGATCGTGGATAAGAACTAACAATAACTAAAATCGAGTTAATATTCTTCTAGGATTACTTATTCTTAAAAGAATATTAAGGAGGAAATTTAATTTAAGCTAAAAGTTGATTTTCCTGCTAAATATTTAGCAACTTGCAAATTAAATCACCAATATCGGCGATCCAGTGCTTTTTATAAAGGATTGATATATTAACAGAAATTCTTAATATAGACTAATTCAAAAAATCTCTTACCTCAGTACAATTTAGAGGCACTTTTCAGATTGCATTGAAAAGGCGGCCTCAGTATTTTCCAATAAGTAAATAGACGATGTCAACATACATACCTTGACATGTTTTTCTATCCGTTGTTTGAGTTCAACATGGAAGAACAAGATTTGGCTGCTAGGACAGTAGAACGTACTCTTACAACAAATGATAATAAAGAAGGACGATTCACACAATGTTACAGCGAAGTTTACAAAAAGATATTACTCAGAAAGAAAAGAATAAAATAAAATAACTAGATGATCCAGAATAGGCACAATATAAATACGGAACAACTAAATAAGAAGTTTGTAATGAAATGAAACGGTAAAATTTAAAAAAATAATGTCAACAATAATCCGCGAGTTGTAAGGTGATTAGGGAGATAGAACAACAAGAGAACAATATATTATTCCATTGTTGATTAATAATTTGGTTAAAAACTGGTTAAAAAATAATCGGAAGATTTTTAGCAACCACATAATAGTAAGAGTTAAACAAACCAATATCAAAATACTAACTTTAAGCATGAAGGAGATATTTTTAGCCTTTTTTATACACAAAAATATTTATAACAAAAATTCAAGTGCGCCGATTTTTTTTTGTTTATTTTTAATTTTGATATTTTAACCACATTAGCTGCATATTATTGCATTAAACATGCTACTTACATTAATAAATAGTGGCATTCTTTAAGTGAATTCATGTTTTATGATATGTAAACTGAAATGTTTAGGTAAATTTATTGACTGTTATAAATTGAAATACTTATCCCTCGCCGTATATATACATATATTTATTTATCTTCAAATAGTAGAAGTAAATAAATAATAGTTGAGTGAATGGTGTTCTCAATATTTATACATAATATTCAGAATTTCATGCTGTGTATAAATATACACATAAGTCCGCACATGTATACGTACAAATGGCTTTCAAATGGGCAATGTTCGACTGTGTAATAAAGAATTATTGTGAAGAAAAATTTTGTACTTTTTGTTAAAGTATCAAAAAAAATAATGCTCTTGCTATTCATAAAATATTTTATATAATTTTACCTTTAACGGTAAATATGAACATTTACGTTTAGATTAAATTAATGTGTACATACTTTCTTATAAGAAGAATACTGTGTGTGAATGATTAATCAAATGTATGTCAAGAACTTATCAAATAATAATTATTGATCAAACTCATAGTGAATTTTATTTTAAATTTATTTTAAGAATTGAAAAAAAAATTAATAAATTATTTCAAATATTTTATCAATTTGTATGAATTCAAAGTAATCTGCAAATAGATTGTTTGCGTCATTAATTTTTTCTTGGAATGTTTTTATTTTTATTTTAGAAAACACTCTACTTAAGTTCATTGAAAACTTGGCATAAATTTGTATTTTGCAAAATTAAAAATATTTGGGAATATTTGCATATTATTATAGAATTTGTCTACCAAACTTACGTTAGATGGATTTTGCTTCAAACTAAAATGAAAGTGAATGAAAAATTTGTAACGTATAACACAGACGAAAACATAATTTGAGTTCTTTTTAGGAAAAAAAAAGTTTACAAAGTATAAAAAGTATAAAAGAATACCTGAAATTATTTTTATGGGTGTATAATACGAGTAAATATGCTAATGAATTTTGCGAAAAACTTTTTGATATAATTAGTGTGCTTTGTTGTTGAATATTTTAGTTTTTCTTAAAAATTTTCGCTAATATGCTAATGTAGAGTAAAAATTATTGGTAAATCCCAAAACAAGTAATAAACAAAATTTCTTTTTAAATAATTTAGTTTCTTAGGAACTAAATTTTGTATATAGATATGGCAATAATACTTGAAAAAAATTAAATACATAATACAGGAAATCGAGTGCAAAAGCACTTTATTAGAAATTTACTTTGAATATTTAAATAATTATGTGGAGTTTATTAAATGAAAAACCAAAATTGTCTCGACATTTAAAATGATTAAAGTATTTACTATTTCAAAAATTAAATGTTAAAATTTTAGAATTTCAAGCTATAGTCTTGTATATTGAAATTATAAACTTGAAATTCTACCATTTAAAACCGTGTTTAAAACGAGAAAAAAAATAGAGTTGACCTTGTCAACTCTGTGATACCCGTACGAATTTGTTATCCTATGTGCGAATAACTAATGTGCCATAACTAACTATGGGGCAGACTATGACTTTAAGTTGCCGTATTACCATATTAATTTATGCAAAATTTCAGTATTATGTGTTATTCAAAATACTGGTTGTGCCAAACTACTATTGATGTTGTATGGCA